CTCCGCTGACTCTGGACCTTTCTGGTTCTCAATGGCTGGAGTAAGAGTGACCTGTTGCATGGCATGTATTCTGAGGGGTTTCTCCATGTTTGAATGATTCACACACTTCCGTGGGTGGGCGTCTACAGCCGGTGCATGGTGGGCCAATTGTGTCATTGTTTCTCTGCGTCATGGTAGTTCTCAATTGAGCGGTGGCGGCCGGCCTGAGGGTCAGCGTGCAACAGCGCTCTCTGCCGCATGGCTCCCCGTGCACCTGGGCCCCTCCTTCCGGAGGCCTAAGAGGCAGGAAGCGGGCCGGTCTGAAGACCAGCGCTCTCCACCCATGGCTCCCTGTGCGCCTGTGCCCCTCCTTCTGGGGGCCTACGAGGCAGGAAGTGGGCCAGTCCAAAGACCAGTGTTCCCCGCCCGTGGCTCCCCGTGTGCCTGGGCCCCTCTTTCCGGGGGCCTATGAGGTCTGTCTTTTTTTTTTTTTTGAGACAGGATATCACTGTGTTGTCCAGGCTGGCCTTAAACTCACTGTGTAGCCAAAACTGGTCTTGAACTCACAGCAGTCCTTCTGCCTTAGTCTCCCATGTGCTAGGATTATAGGCATGTGCCAATATGCTTAGCTAGGAATGTGTTATTAAATGTCCCTGTGTTTGTAAAATTTCTGTCATTCCTTTTGCCATTGATTTATTTCAATGTGCTACCATTTTATAGTATAGATAGGATAATTTGGATTCTTTTGAATTTATGCAGGCTTTATGGGCTAGTATACATTCTGTTTGGGGAAAAGTTCCGTGTATTGCTAAGGAGAATGTGTGTTCTGTTGTTGGGTGAAACACTGTTAAGTTCATGTGTTTGAAGATGTGGGATCAACTCTGATATTTCTGTGTTTCTTTTTTAGTCTGCTTCGTCTGTCTGTTTGTGACAGTGGATTATTAAGATCTCCCACTATCAAGTGTGTCTAGTAGTGTTTTTTTGTGTGTGATGTTAGGTGCACCAGTGTTTAGTGCATATATATTTATAATTGTTATTTCTTTTGAATTTTTCCTTTAACTAATATGTATAGTGACCTTCTTTGCCTCTTGGGATCAGATTTGTGTTGAAATTCACTCTGTTTTCCATCCTTCCATTTTTAGTATATGAATTTCTTTTTGATTAAATGTGTTCCTTAAGTATACTGCTGGGTTTTGTTTGATCCATTCTGAAAATATGTGCCTTTTGATTGGTGAGTTGAGACCCTTCACATTGAAAGTTATTACTTATTCCTGTCATTGCATTATTTTTCTGGTATTGATTGTTTTTATCCTTAACCTTACGTTAGTCTTCTTCACATCATTTAGAAAGTATCGATCAATTTTACTTCCTTTGCTGTCTTGTTTTGTTTAAATTAAGGTATCTCTGAGTATGTCATGCTTGCATTGTCCTCAAAGTGCGACACTCTTTTTACATTGGTCACTTTTACTTTTCATGTATTCAGTAGAATTCTTTATATGCAGGATTTTTGTTTGGCATCTTTTCATGGAATATGTTTTTTCTGGTAAAGTTATTCATGTTTTGAATGGTTTTATTTAACTCTTCTAACTTTCAATTCTTCTCTAACCACATTTGTCAGTTTGTTTGTTAATTCCACCATCTATTTGGTTATGTCATTTTGAGCTTGCCAAGTTTCTTTGCTTTCTCTGTAATCATTTTGTAGAGCTCAGCAGTTGGTGTTTGATTTTTCTGTTGTTGCCCTTTGAATCTGCTTTTGGGAAGATGGGGATCTCCTGTTGCATCGTTTTTTTTCATGTTCATTTTTTGATGCTGAGGTTTGAAGTCATATAGTGCGAAGAGACTTGTTGGTATGAAGATCTGGTTAGTTGGGTTCTCTTTTCCAGTGAATTGATCTTGTCTCTATTTGTTAAGAAATACTGTCTACCACTTCACACTATTCAGTTTGATTGGGTTGAAGTCAGTTCTATGTTTTAGGAAGAGAATTCCTACTGGTTTTAACAGTATCCACAAATCCAACTGTATGTCATCATCAATGTTAAAACTTGTTTAATCAGTTTTGCCCTTTTATCACTGCCCCTTACAAACTAGCCCTGCCCATACTGGATCAGAGCAGCCCAGCCCAGACTAGACTGTACTGTTACAATAGTAGCATTTAGTCTGGGATGTGGAGAGAAGGAAAGGGGGAAAGGAAGGTGATAAGTCAGTAAGTGGAGACAGAGATAAGAGAAATGTCTGTAGTTGAAAAATAGGTCAGACTCTCTTGGAGGTATTTTTATAGTTGGAAGAGTTACTCAGACAGCTGCAAAGAAGAGGTGGGTAAGCAAGGCAGGGTGGCACACACCTGTAATTTTAACCATGAGGAGGCTGAGCCAAGAGAATTGATCATCTTGAGTTCCAGGCCAATCTGGGGTATATAGTGAGTTCAGGTCAGCCTGGACTACATAGTGATAACCTGGCTCAAAAAACAAAACAAAAACAAAAAACCAGTGTGTTATAATTAAGACAAAAATCAATGGCAAATTTATAATCTTAAATTTACTTTTAAAAAAACTGAAAAAGTAAAAATTCGCTGTATGTTCATCACCAGTGCTAGGACAAAATAACAATAAAAAACTAAACGTCAAATAAGGAAAGAATTAAATATAAATAAACTAGCCAAGCTTTAGAAAAGTAAAAATCCAGGGGAGAGCCTTTAAGAGAATGTTTTTATATTATAGCCTTGTATCAGTGAATCTATTTTATCTTAAAAGGAAGTAGAAAGCCTAGAATTTTGAGTAACTTTATTAAAATTACAGTCAGAGATCTATTTTTGAAGAAGTCATGGGGCCTAGAAAGCTTTGCCAGAATATTCTGACAAATCTTTAAAGAATAGGCAATTCATAACTCATGTAATAAACTGTTACAGAGACAGAGAAAAATGGGGCTTCTCTTTATAAAGCAGGTCCAACTGTGAAACTCCATAGGATAAAGAAATACATAGTAGTTTTATTTCCCAGTATGTGTCTTGCTGTGCATCCCAGGCCAGCCTTGAACTCACTATTTAGTTTAGGTTGACATCACACTCTCCGTTTTCAGCTTCAGTCTTCTGAGTGGTAGTGTTACAGGTATATGTCATCATGACCAGCCATTTCTCATTTTCATAATACGAATGGCCTTATAGTACATAGAAGAGATTCTTTGGAGGAACTCTTCCTTAGGCAGCTTCATGAACATACTCAGTTTACCTTAATCTTGAAAATGTACCATCTGTGCCTTAGTAAAAGACTGAAAAGAAATACCACTGCATATACACATAGTGATGTGATGTTCTTTTTCTTTCTGTTTTTCTGCCCTTTCCCCCATTTGTTTTAGATATATATTTGGGCAGAAGAGGTAATCAAGCAGTATATATAAGGGATACAGTAATTTCATTGACAAAATTTAGTATTAGCAAGGTAATTTCGAATTGTTAAGTATTAGTAGAATAATGTTTCAAAGACTAACATCTGAGCCTGCATCTGCAGTACTATTGAAAACAGTAATTAATAAAGCCTTTGCAGTGTTGACAGCAACAGGACACTAAGAAACATTCAGCCTATCTGGAAAAGAAACTGGATATAAATGATTTGATGTGTTATTCATTATTCAAGTAAGTTTTAGCAAGAGATCCTATGACTTACATGTATGCCTACTGTGTAATTCATGGTAAGAAAATTAAGTATGTTTATAACATTTTGAAAAAAAAAACAGGATTGTTTACTCTGAGATGTACTGGTGTTGAGCAGCTCTCCACAGCTGTGGACATAAAAAGAAGTTTAACTGAGAGTATTTTCATCTGGCCATTTAATTCACGGGTTACTATAGTTTTGATGTAGTTTTCTGTATTTTCCAAATACATATTTTGCACCCAGTTTGCCTTATTTTCTTTGTTTTTCCCTATCTTCTAAGAAATCCCATTTTTGTAATTTTCTTGTTATGTGTGCGTGTATTCTTTCTAATGCTGTACTGACACTTGATTTCCGTGTCACTTTGGTTTCCTTTCAGGCCAAGATAGCCAGGTTAACCAAACGTTTTGGAGCAGCCAAAGAAGATCTTAAGAAAAGACAAGAGGTAAGAATTGATAGTCTTCTATAATTAATATTTATCTCTAAATGGTAATCTTAGGAAATGCTAATTTGACCTGGGCTTTCATTTATTGGGAGGTTTTCATCAGTTGTTAAATCTTATTAAAGTTTTTTTCAGATATTTTTGTCTTCATGATTCATGTTTGGTGGATGTGGTGTTACAGATTTACTTGTTTTAGATTGTCTGGCGTATAATTGTTTCTTACAGTCCTTTCATTTCTTTGGCATCAGATCTAATGTCTTCCCTTTCACTTGAGATTTCAGTTAATTGAATAATCTGTGTTAGTCTAGTTAAGGGTTTGCCAATTTTGATTTTCTTTTCAAAAACTCTTAGTTTCATTGGTTTTTTTTTTTTTTTTTCTACTTTGTTTCATTTATTTCTGTTGTAATCTTTGCTGTTTCTTGCTGATCACTTCAGGTTTATTGAGATGTAAATTTCGATGTTTTGTTTGATACTTGCTTCCCTCCCTCCATATTTTACAATCAGTTTGCCTTATTTTCTTTGTTCTTCACTATCTTCTGAGAGATCCCATTTTTGTGGTTTTCTTGTTATATATGCGTGTATTCTTTCTAATGCCACACTAACACTTGATTTCCTTTCTTCCTTCCTTCTTTATAGCATTAGGGATTAAACCTAGGGCATATGCACTACCACTGAGCTACATCCCCTAAACTTAGGCTTTCATCAGAGATCTTTCTTTTTGTGTTTACTGATATAAGCTGTTCTCTTAGTACTGGTTTCACTTATATAAGTCCTGGCATATTGTGTTTTTATTTCTCTTAAAGGTATTTTCTGATTTCCCATGTGATTTCTTCTTAGACTCATTGACTTTTTTTGGTGCATTTGTCTTGTAAATTCTATGCTAGAATTAAAAATTATTTATGTACAAGTAGAGCAGTGATGCAGGATTCTCTTTATCTCTATTTACCTTTCTTAGAGAGATATGTCTTTTTGTATGTTTTTATACAATATAATCAGTTGTTATAAGTACTAAGACTTTCTTTATTCAGTATTTTTTTTATTATACCACAGATGTGTCCAACTCATGGGATGCAATTTGGACACATCTGCTAGACAGTTTTTCATTTCAGCTGTATTCTTTACCCTATGGTCTGGACATGGTTGGAGTGTGTCTCCCAAGGTTTAATGTTTTGAAATCTAATGCCCATTGTGTAGTATAAAGAGAATGTAAACAGTTGACTGTGGTTTCTAGAGATGCGGATTTTGGAAGGTGATTAGGATTACATAAATTCATTATGTGGAGGAGCCCATGGTTTTGAATCCTGCTGGCTGTATGAGAAGAGGGAAAGAGATTAGATATACACATGTACTATCTGGTCACATGATACCCTGATTCACTCTGTGACTCTGCTGTCAAGAAGCCATCACCAGGTGCAGTCCCTTGACTTTGGATGTTCAAAACTGTTAGCCAAAGTAAACCTGTGGTATTGAATTACTAGCAACAGAGAACAGATTAGTACACTTTCAGCTCCAGAATTTCTGTTTGATTTTTTTTTAAACTTTTTAGCTCTTACTCATTTTCCTAATTTTGCTAAGTTTTTAATGTTTTCTTTTGCCTCATTGGGCATCTTGATGAGAGCCATTTTGAGTTTTTTGTCATTTAATTCATAGTTGTTTTGTTTCTTTAATGTCAGTTTCTGGAGATTTATTTATTTTATAGTTCTCTGTTTCTTTCTATGTATTGGTATCTTTTGTTGAAATTTGGGTACTTATAAAAACAGCCGCTTCTCCCAGAGTTCCTGGGCCATGTACACAGGAAGGCTTTCATTAGTCAGCCTGGGTAGAAATTTTGTGGGCCCCTGAAACCTTTTTGGAGAGGAGTCTCTGGGGTTTGTTTTAATCTTCCATTTGAAGAAATTTGCCTGTTTTTCCTCTGGAGCTCCCTCTGGTATCAGTATTCAGTATTGCACTTGTCTGTGCTGTAGCAAGCTGTTAGGGTTGACAGTCCCCTTGGTGCCATCTACGTTAATTTAACCTTTCTAGTGCTGTAGCAAGCTGAAAGGTCTTTCCTTTAGTCTTGGAGGCTCCAAAGTATCAATGTATGCCACAATTATAGTCTGTATTCCAAACCAGGTGTCTGAGTTGGGTGAGATAAAAACTAGTGCTTTGACCATCCTGTCAAAAAATTGGATGCAAGTTCTATTCTTTTCTTTCCTTCTTGGTGAAGAAACCTTAATTTAGCCTTCAGTACTTGGAAGTTAATTGGGTGTGGTAGGTAAATGAACATACTTTCCTACTCATTCCACGGAGTCTCTTTTTGGTCTTTTTCTTGCCAAGGCTGCTACAATCCAAGGCTGCTACAATCTCTCATTTTTGGATGTCTCACAAAGGCGGCCTGGTCCTTGTCAAGTCACTGTCCCCATCAGAGTGTCTTGCAGCTTCCTGTTCTACCATATTGCAGATCTCACCATGCCAGATAATTTAAAGTCACTTAATGAAATGACCCCTTTCCATATTCAGAGCAGTTATGTTATTCTCTATGCCTTTTTCCTTTTTTTCCTCCTATGATTTAGATCTAGATTGTCCCTTAAAGGGTCATGTGTTCAGAGCCTGGGCTTTTGGAAGATGCTTGGATCTTGGAGGTGCTATAGCTGACTTGCGTTTAGTTTAGAAGGTGGGCCCTGGCTAGAAGAGGCTGGTTAGAAAGGGGCTTGACTTGGAAGGGTTTATCTCCCTCTCTGGCTCCTCCCTTTGCTCACTGCTTCCGGGCAGCATTTCCTCAACTATGCTCCTCTACTCTGCATGCTGCCTTGCAGCCTACTGACGCTGGATTTGAAACCGTGAGCCAAAATAAGCATATCCTTGTGTGTGTTATGTCAGCGACAGGAAAGAGACATCCCTGAAGTAGTCATTTCTTTTATCTTAACCACTTTGAATATAACTACTCAAAAACCTGCTCAGGTAAGAGTCTTTACCCCAAAGCCTTTAATTTTTTTTTTCCATCAGCACTACAAATTAGTTTATGCTTTTTCTGTTTGTGTCACAGTTTGTCTTGACAGGTTTTTAAATACCTTTATATAGCAGTTTATCTTAATTGAGTTTTGTCTCCTCTATACACATACATATCTAATACAACACTATACTGATAAGGTTATTTTATAAGAAGTAGTGAAATGTATTTGTTATTGAGGAGAGTAGTTAGTGGCATCCACTTCATGTAATCTTCAGTACTTATTGCCTCTGGCTTAGTATGTATTATTTTTATACTCGGTCTCAAGTGGACTTATTTATTCTCATTTTAAATAATAAATGATGATACTTTTATTAATGGTGAATGGTGGAATTCTAAACAATGATAATAAGTAGATGTTAGAATTCCATTTCTGTATTCCTTGACTGGGGAGAAAGGCTGAAATAAGTTCTATTGCTGCAACTTAGAATCATGACATCACTAACTGTAATTATTGAAGTCATGTAAGGGCAGGTAGAATTTTAAAAAACAAAATCTTAATAATGACTAATAATTTTTGATTTGTGACATTGGATATTGTTTATGTATTATTAAATTTCTAGTGCTATGTTTGCATGTGAGCCATTTTCACATTTTAGTTTTGTATAATCTTTACAAGAATATTGAATTATAGGAATTACTATATTCATCTTTTAAATAATAAGCAGTTGCCTTCAACAGTAAATAGTTCAGATGCAACTGATAAGTGACAATGGCAGGATTTCAAATTCTTGTCTCAACTTGTATTATTTTGCATGACATAATACAAGTAATAGATTGCATACTGCAAAAATCATTTGTAGCTCTTTTTTTTTTTTTTTTTTTTAAATTTCCACATAATTGGCTTTTATTTTTATATGGGTATTTCCTCTTCCCAGAATCCACCAAACCCACCTGTATCACCTGGAAAATCTGCAAATGATATCATCAGCAGTAATAATATGGCCTACAGGTGAGAATTACAATCTGTTTTTCTGGTTCTTAAATAATAGTAAGGTTCTGTTTGTCTTTCTTTGGTAGAAAAATCTTTTAACATATATATCTATATAGAGATACTGTTACGCAGAGTTGAGAATATTTCCTTTTTTTTGCTTTATTACATTGGTAATCTATGGGTATTCTGTCAATTTATTATAAGACTTTCATTGCTGCATAATTCTTTAACCTCACGTCATGAGTACTAGTCTCAAATAATTGATAAATGCTTTTTTCAGTTGTAAAAAGATTGTGTTATATTAGAACCTTCATTTGGTCTTCAGCTTAAATATTAATAATGTTAGAATATAAAAGAAAGACTGTTCCCTAATGCCATAGACCCCTGCACTTAGAAGTCTGCATGTCGTCTGTGCTTTTTTGTGTTTGCTCGTGGTTTAGGGTTGTAAAACCCAAATCTAGTCATTGCTTTTCTACTATAGGCCAGTGCATTTTCTACATATTGATAGTTTTCCCCAGAGTGGCATGTTCATTGATTATTTGTATGTGTATATTTCATAGAAATGCAAGCACAGTAAGACAGATGTTGGAGTCCAAAAGAAATGTAGGTGAGAGTGCACCACCATCTTTTCAAACTCCTGGGAATACAGGTAACATTTTTAACAGACAAATTTTTTTTCTTAGATATTAAGGCTTTGGATCTCTTACATTCTTTTGAGATTGAAATGGACTAGAAAACTGGGCTTATTGGTCTAAGTACAATATATTACTAAAAATTTGGGATCACAAGTATATATTAGAATATAGATATTAAAATTCTTGATTATTTCTCAAACTTTCTGGTCTCTAGATCCTTTCACAACCTTCAAAATTAAAAACCCCTATGTGCTTTTGTTTATGAGTTATACCACTTCATACTATCCATTTCAGTTAAAAAATTAAAAGGAAATTTATTCATTTAAGATTGCTAATAAACTTGTAAGGTGTAACAGACAACATTCTTTAGTGAAAAATAGCTATAATTTTCAAGATTAAAAATACCAAGAGGGTGGGGATTTAGCTCAGTGGTGCAGTGTTTGCCTGGCAAGCGTGAGGTCCTGAGTTTGATTCCTGGTGCCTTCCCCTACAAAAAAAAAATACCAGTGAAATACTGGCTTTCATGTTTATAAATCTCTGTTTTGCTTAAGATATTAGGACATTTAAAGACAGCTATAAATCTATGTCTATTTTCAGTCTTTTGCTTTTGTGGGGAGAGAAGAGAGGGACAGGGTCTTGGTTCGTGCTAGCTTCAAACTCATGATTCTCTTGCTTCTGCCTCCCAAGTCCTGGGATTACAGCTGCCACACCAGAGTTTGTTTCATTATTTTAATTTGGCTGACGTATATGAATAAAATTTAGCCTCATACAAAGTACTTTTCCTTGTGTCAGTTATCCTTTTTTGGCATGCAGCTGTGTTTTTTTTTTTATAGCACCTATTTTATACTGCCTATTTCTTTATGGAGTATTAAAAATGCTACACAAGTATTGAGATATAATAAAATTAATGGTTTTTATTGCTTCATTATGGATATTTTTAACTGAAATAGACTTTGTTTTTAGCTAAAAGCATAGGGTAATGAAGAATGTGGTGACAGTGTGGTACACTACACTACCTTGGTTTTTGTGTACCCTTTATTGTTTCATTTTCCAGAATTTCATTTACCTGTGGTGGTCAAATATTCAAGGATAAATTCCAAGAATAATTCATAAATGTCATTATGGTATATTGTTAAAATTGTTCTACATATTTATTATTTTCTACTATGCCTAGTTTATAAACTTAACTATATCATACATGTGTATATGCAGTCATGCATGGCATAATAGCATTTCATCAGCGATGAACTGTGTAACACAGTTGTTCCATAAAATTATAATTGAGCTGAAAATTCTCACCACTTGGTAAAGTTGTAGCTTTCGCAACATAGCTCAGCACATTACTCATGAGTTTTATGTTGATGTAAACAAATCTACAACACTGTCAGTTTATAACAGTATAGCACACGGAATTGTGTACAATACATAATACTGAATAACAAAATGTGTTACTAACTTATTTACTATAACTTTTATTGCTATTTAAAATGCATTCCATATTTTAAAAGTTTGCTATAAAATAGTTTGCTGTGTTATGCCAGCAGTAACCTCATAAATTTCATGTCTACTGTGTCTCTTGATCACTTCACATAAGTAAATTAACTTACATCATCTAGGTTTGTGTAAGTGTACTTTGTGATTGCACCACAATGAAATTGCTTAACTATGCATTTCATAGAGCATCTTTATCAAGCAACAAGTGAGTGTAGAGGAAAAGATACATGGTTTGTAGAGTTCCGTACTGTTTGTGTTCTTAGGCACCAACTCAGAGTCTTGGAAAGCGTCTCCTTACCACTCAAGGACTGTTGAAGTAAGGAGTCAGCAGTTCTCCTTACTGTTCCTTTTGCTTCGTCAGTAGAAATGTCCGTACAGTGATAACAGTTCTGACTTTGCAAACTCTCTGTAACAGTCTCAAGAAACCACAGGTGTTTGCCTGGACCATACTCCGCTCTAGTGTACCTGTGGTTTTAGAAAGAGTGTACATGAATGAAGAACAAATTTAGTTACATATATCCAACTGGTTTTTGAGAATGAACACAAGGAGTAGAATCATAATTGCTATAAATTGAAATTACTACAAATAGTCTACTCTCCCATTTTTTAATCCATCTGTAGTCTTCATAGTTATTTTCTGTATCATCTAATATCAAAAGATGTCAGTACAGGGATCCCCAACTTGTTCGTTCCTTTCGTAGTGAATTCAGTTAACTCAGTCCACGTACACATGTTTCACATGGTCCCAGTGATAAACTATGATGTCTAAGTTTATCTGCTACTCATTAATGGTCAAGACTCTTTCTAGAGTTCCTATTTATATTTATTTATTGCTCCTATTATAAGCCACTTATAATATTTTTAATGTTTCCAAAATATCTGTGCATTTTTATTTCATTGGTTTTTAGTGTTGTTTGTTGTTCCAGTTAGCTATTCTGAAGTGACTGTGGTAATTTGCAGAGACTGTTGCTGATACCGAGGTAGCAGTCCTCCATGTTACTGTTAAGTCATATCCCAGTCTCATAATATACATGTGTACATACAAAAATGTTTCTAAAAATTCAATTGTAAGAACTACCAGAATTTAAACCTAGGAAAATTCTCATTATGAAAGACTTTACTATATGTAACAATGAATTTGCATGTGTCATTATTGTAAGTCATAACTTATGGTAGCTATTTAAGACTTGTTTTTTCTTCTTTACAGTATCTTCAGCCAGTCTTGTCACTCCTCCAGCAGTTGTCACTAGTCAACCTAAACTGCAGAATCCAACAACCTCATGTGCTCAAACAGCAACACCTGTTCTTCCTGCACCCAATACAGCTACAGTAGTTGCAACTACTCAGGTGCCTACTGGAAATCCTCAACCTACAATTTCTTTACAACCTTTGCCAGTGATTTTGCATGTTCCTGTTGCAGTATCCTCCCAGCCTCAGCTCCTGCAGAGCCATCCAGGGACTTTAGTAACCAATCAGCCATCTGGCAATGTTGAGTTTATTTCTGTGCAAAGCCCACCTACAGTGAGTGGTCTTACCAAAAATCCAGTATCCTTGCCATCCTTGCCAAATCCTTCTAAACCAAACAACGTTCCTTCTGTGCCCAGTCCTAGTATTCAAAGGAACTCTCCAGCCGGTGCTGCACCATTAGGAACAACACTTGCTGTACAGGCTGTTCCGACAGCACACTCTATTGTGCAAGCCACAAGGACTTCTTTACCTACAGTGGGCCCATCAGGACTGTATAGCGCATCGAATACTCGAGGTCCTATACAGATGAAAATTCCAATTTCTGCTTTTAGTACTTCATCTTCTGTGGAACAAAATAGCACTACCACCCCAAGAATTGGTAAGTCATCATATTGGTTTAGTAGTAGAAATAAAAGTGTGTTAACGACTTTTACATAATTCAACTTTTTTTTTCAAAGTGGCTGGTATTATTGGAAGAACAAGGTAAATAGAATTTCCTTAAGATTATTTTTAGTAATTTTCTAGATACCTAAGAGAAATGATGTTTTTAAAGTTTGAAAGAGGTTTTTTTTTTAATTGAGACATATTTGTACATCTTTTATGGGATACATTATGATAATCTGATACATGTATGCACTGTATAATAATAAAACGGGAATAAGCAGTTTTATCTCTTCAAAGGTTAATTTTTTAAATTTAATTTTTATTTTTGTTTTACTGGGAATTGAACCCAGGGCCTTCATACTAAGCTGCGTCCCCACTCCACTTTTTTTTTTTTTTCTTTTTAAAGAGACAGGGTCTCACTAAATTGCCTAGGTTAGGCACATGCTTGCGATCCTCCTGCCTTAGCTTCCCAGAGCCCTGGTTACAGACATGCCCTCCCACATGGCTCACAGGTTAATCATATTTATGAACTAGAAATTTTATACTTTTCTAGTCATTTTGAAATATAGGTTGTTTTACACAATGTAATTACTCTTCTGTGCTATAGAAAATTAGAATTTCTCCTGTCTTACCTGTGTTTGATACCTGTTACTGAATTATGTCCCTCCTGCCTTTTGTCTTCCCAGTTTGAGAGGGGGTTTATTTTGAGTGAGAAATTTGCATTTTATTTTATCTTTTAGTTCTTCTCCTAATTTTTGTAAGTTTTTAATTTAGTTGTTATAGCAGCATTATGAGCTGTATTATAGGTTTGCTAGGGATCTCTAAATAAAATAAGTATATTTTAAGTTTTTTTTTTTTTTTGGATACCAGGATTCGAATTCAGGACCTTGTGCTTGCCAGGCAGGCATTTGTGCCACTGAGCTATATCCCTGGCCTGTATTTTAAGTCTCTAGTTGAGATACTATACACTTATAGGAGAACAATAAAAAGCACATATCTTTCCTACCCAGTGGGGGAAGTCTGTTGTGCATTCATTGCTCATATCTTCTAAATTTGAACAACTGAAAAATAGATTCTTCCACTTCTGATTTACTACAGAATATCTGATTTCTTGTTTTCTCCCTCACCATAGGATAGCTGAATGTTTGTGTTTTACGTAGAAGTAATGAAAAAAGGAGAGCCTGACTGTACCTGTATTTAAAATTGCAGAAGTCTGTTTCTTTTCCTAGAAAGTACACATTTTGTATGCATTCTTGAACTTATTTTTTTTTTTCGCTTCTCATTTCACATTTATTCCAGCTACTTTTAGAAAACCAAACAAGAGTGGGTGGTATCATGTATATAATGAAGTTCCTATAGTATTTTTCTTATTGATGTAATAAGTGACTATGAAATATAAGAAGCATTTTAACATACAAAATTTAAAAAATTTTTTTTTCTTTTTCTGCACTTTTGGGAATAGAACCCAGGGCCTCATACATGCTAGGCAATAAAATTACTTTTCAAGTAGACTTTAACACTCCTTATTTTTTATTTGTCATGTAATTAATGTGGTCACTCTATTTTCTCTCGTATAATGATGACATTTCACAGAATTGTCAAGAAACTAAATGAATAGTGATCAAAATTAATATTAGGCTAAAGCTGAATGTCACCCTCGTTAGTGAACATGTGGGGTAAATGTAAACACATTCTGTATGAAAATGCAGCTGCTATTAACAATGCTTATAATTGTTTGCGTAGCGCAGCAGCAGAGTTAGCATTAGCCGATTTCACATTACTCCACAGTCCCTGTTTCATGTTCGCAGCACACAGAGAGAGCCCTACTTTTAACTGAGACCAGAGGACAAAATTGTGGGGAGGACATTCTTCCATGCTTCTCCACTTTCTTTTTCTTTTAATTTTAGTGTTTTTTAGTGTGTCAAATGATTCATAATGGGCCTTGTTTTAAATTGATTCTGTAATTTGTCACCTTTATGAAGTTTTGAAGTGAAGTTCACAATGTTTTTAGTTCCTGATCTTCTGAGAAGGTGTAGTCCAAGATACAATACAATGTTTTCTTAAACGACCAGGGCCCATAAAGAAAGCAAACTCAGGAGAATATTTTCTTTGTATTATGAATGCCTGTCTCCTAACCACTTCTACAAATGCCAGATTTATAATTTCATCTGAATGGCCTCTGAAAATTTTTATGATCATTTGATAGCACAAGAAGAGTATCTTCCAGAAGTATTTAGTCAGTGCACTCTATTAATAGTAATGTGTCATTCTCTTACAAATTTATTTGCTATATATTATTAATAGTTTCTATAATGATTAATCTCATTGTGGCATTCTACTTTTGAAATAAATTTTTATGTTTTAATAAAGGCAAAAGATTTATATGATCTGAAGAGAAACCAGAGTATAAATTTTTATATTTTAGCATAGTACATTCATATATACATTAGATTACAGATCCTTATTTCAATTTCCATTTAAGTTACAGCTAAAAAATAAATTATTATATGGTAAATAAATTTAAATGACAATTTTATATTTTTATAATGTTATACTAAATTCTTATAAAAATATCTGTTCATTGATCATGCCTAATTTCATGGGTGCCATAAATGACATTAAAATAGGTGTTTGATATTTTTATTCTTCTAAAACCTAAGGTAACACACCATGGCAAACTTTTACTGAACATGAAAGTTGACACTTATCTCTGCATCCCTGTTGTGATAAATCCATTAGGTTATATAATTAAAATTTTCCAACTCCTGTGCTTACATAGGAGTTATTTACTTAAAGACTATTCTGTATAACTACATATATTTGTATATATTTTATTGTAATTGATTTATATTAAGGAATCTAAGTCAGTATTGTCTGTTTATAGTGAATGTCTTCCTTGGGCTGTTTTGGACATTTAGGACTCAAATTGTGGTTATTTTATTCATTCATGAAATACTGAGTTGCCTGTGTCGTTCTAAGGTTTTGTGGATACAGAGTAGTCTTGTACTTGCAGTCAAATAGGGAATTTGTCCATTGAGTAATTATAAGTGTGATGAATATTAAAACATGCTGTTTTCTTTGAGAAGATATGAGAGGACATGGGTGGTCTGGAAAGATATGAGCTAATGAACAAAAAGTGGGAAAGGAAGTTAATGGTTTTTTAAGGAGAGGGAGTTTGACATTTATGAATAGTGGCTGCAATGTAGAAAATGGTTTGGAAGGGATAAGAATGGAATTAGGGAAGAAACTTAGGAGGTACTTGCAGTGAACTAGATAAGAAGTAGTGGTATAAAAGTTTAAATTATTCAAAAGCCAGGATTGGCAATACTTGCTAATTTACTCACAAAGATTAAATGGTGAGAGAAATGTTAAAGATACTTAGGTTTCTTAGGCTGGGCATGGTGGTGCATGGCTGTAATCCCAGCGTGGGAGGCTGAGGCAGGAGGATCGCTGTGAGTTTGAGTACAGTCCAGATTACAATGCGAGTTCAAGGCGAGCCTGAACTGCATAGTGAAACCCTGTCTCCAAAAAAAGGATACTTAGGTTTCTTAAGACTTTGTTAAGTCTTAAGTGCTAACACCATTTACTAAGGTAGACTTAAAGGAAATCCTGATTTGGGGGAGAGTTACATAGAATTCATTTATAACTCAGATCTCACTAAAACTTCTCTTATTTCAAGAGTATATGAAAATAAGAATTTAAGCATAACTCCAACTTTAATTTCCTTTGAGTTCTTCAGTGACAAGAGTTGAATGAAGATTTTGCCTTCCATTTTTGTTCATACAGCAGTTACGCAGACCTACTGAGAGAATAGTACAGGTTTATACTCATCCTTTAAAATATTTGTATGAATATGATAAAAATGTAGTATTGGTTAAGAGTGACCTTTGTTACATGAAATAATTTTTGAAGGATAACAAGATAGTGATATGCCCCAATTAGGATTTTGAGTTACAATTTGAATTCACACCTCGACCAATTTTGCTAATTCATTGATTGATAAGTTGATGTTTTTCCTTTCTGAAGTCATCTAAGGTAGATACTATACTAGAAGAAGTGGAAAAAGATGTCATGAAACTGTAAAATGTTACATTAATTCAAAGAAAGGGTTATAATAATTGAAAATCTAATTATAAATATTGCTACAGTTTTGTAATTAACTTATTTGCCCTGAGACAAGTCAGAATCATGTTGAGTAACAGAACATTATTTTTTGAAAATGTATGTCTGACATTTTAGTAAGCAGACTAAATCTTAAGGAATTTTTGTATGAGAATATTACAGTAGAAAATAAAAACAAAGCTCCCTTATCTATTTTTCGTGTAAAGTCACTTTTTGTTTGAAAATCCCTTTCAAATCTAAAAGAGTATTTTTTTAACAGTGCATATAAAAGTTTTGGTATTATTGCTAGTATAGTTTAGTGAGAATACTCCAGCATGTAGGATCACTAACTTGGAACTAGTTTTCTGTTAAATAGTCTCTAGGAACTTTAAAGTCCAAAACACATGCTCATTCATATTAAATAATATAATTTTTTGAAAAATTAATATAGTCTTCCTACAGAAAGAATTTAAATGATTCAGAAAATTGTTAAGGGCTTTCTGTTTACTTTTGTTAGGATACCTCCTTTAACAGGTGGGTACTTATTCTATTTGATTTTTAAAATGTAGAATTATACATATATGTATTTATACATACATATATACACACACACACACACTATGGAAAGATGGTTTTATATTTGTTTAAACAAAAATGATTCCCTCTGTAGGTGTTTCGAAGATTTATAAATCGAAGGAATGCCTTATTTTGAACAAGAAAATTTTATCTCTTCCCTAGAGTATTTCAGCTAAACTCTTGATAGTGTAGTTAGCTATACTACCAAAGAGGAAAAGGCATATTTGATAAAATTTAATGATTTAATACTTTTCCCCACTACTCCTTTAAAAATTGGGGCAGAAATATATATGTTATTTTTTTTTTTTAAATGCTGTTCTGGAGTAACAATTTTTTTTTAACTACAAACAATACAAGTTAGTTAAAAATAAATAAATAAAAAGTAATCTGCAATTGAGCTGCTAAAAAATAGAAATTTTTCTCCAAAGGGGCATACTGTAGTATGGAAGGATTATGTTTTGTTTAGCCATTTTTCTCATGTTACAGCATGAACATTGCGTCTGTTTTAAATTATTTTCCCAAGGTATTCCTTAGGATAGAATTTAAATTGCTTGGGTCAATGAGTAGATGAAGATTTTTCTTCTGTATTGTAAATTTGCCGTTGTGAAAGATGCTGTTGCAGCGATCTGTGAGAGAATCCATTTACATACATTGACAGAAAAACAGTTGGAGTAAATTACCTAAATTATTGTATGTACAACAGCCTAACCTTTTATATAATGTAGATGGTTTTTTAAAATGGCTTTTTTTTTTCCTTCTCAGAAAACCAGACAAACAAACCAATAGATGCTTCTGTTAATAAGAAAGCAGCTGATAGCACAGCACAGGTAATGATTTTCCCTTTTACTTCAAAATAAAATTCTGATTAAGACCAAAGAATAACGGATTTTCGTCAGTAGTCTCTGCTACAATGAAAACTACTGTTTTTTTAAACAGCTGTCCAAACATGTTCTCACAGCTTCTCTTTAATGCTTGACAAGAGTTGAGTTTCTTTGCCTGTTATTTTTCTGAAATAATACTAGTTGATTATATTACTGATTGTTTGGATTCTATAATTGAAAGTTTATTTGCTTTCATATGTACTGGAAAGATTCAGTCTGCAGCACATAAACTTCTTCCAGGCCCTTGCTTTTGAGAGTATCTGTGTGGCCTACTCTCATGTTGCTCCACTCCTTCTGCCCACTCCCCATCATCATGTTAGTGTCCTCGAAGGTAGACTTTTGGGGAAGAAAGTTTTTATCTCTCTGATAGTTTATTATTAGCACTTGACCAATCTTGTTACTTTTTCATTAAATCTTAACTTCCCAATAATAGAGTAACTGCTGTTTTCTTGTGTTAACAGTATTCTTCCTAATTCTTCTATATTGCCTTAGGTGTAGTAGATTTATAATGAGGTTGTTAATATTTATTTTTTCCTTTCCTTTAATTGTTTAGAGAAACTCTAGTATTACTTCTAGTCTTGAGTATGTCAGGCACAAGTGAATGACATTTAAAAATAAGGGCATAATAATCATGACATTTTCCATTAAAATCATGACTTTTGGTCTAAAGCTAGATACATACACTACATTTGTAGATCAGTAAAAGCTTTTAAAATATGTTATCTTACAGACTGCAACCTTTGTGTGTAATATTAAAATTAGAGTTATGTAACATTGTATGAGGTATTTTTCTAGAAGAAGCATGATATCAAAAAGATACATACAGTGGTTATTTATTTGCTTATTTATATGATGTAGGGGTTCTTGCTATTTTGCCCAAACTGGCCTTGAAGTCCTGGGGTCAAATGACCTTCTGCCACAGTCTGTTGAATAACTGGGACTGTAGGCACATACCAGGGTACTACGCAGATTTTATGTGTTTGCTTTTTCTGCCATTCTGGTGATCCAAACCAGTATTATAAGTGATTTTTAAGTGAAAATGTATAGGAAGTCTGATTTTACAAAGGAAACTTGAAATTAAACAAGAAATTTATAAATGTCTTTATTTCCTTCCTGATATTTATGTTCCTTCCTGATATTTTTGTTTTCTATTTTATTTTGCTTTTGACAAGCTAGGTGCAATTTTCAGCTTTTGAAAACAAGCGTTATAATGGCTGTAGTTTATCATTTTATAAGTAGTAGTGGTTCTTTCAGAGCTGTGTTCCCAGAGACCTGTAGCTATTTAAATTTAATTGAAAAAACATCATTGGTTAAAATAAATCTATTTTAACTTTAAAAGCCACATTTTGCTAATGACTATATTATTGGACAGCACAGTTATAGAATAGTTTCATCCTTGCAAAAAAGTTCTATTAAACTGCAGTTTGGAGTTTTCTACTGAAATTTATAGTGTATATACTAATACTGTACTATACAACATATACTTTACATACATAAAAATATATATATATACAGTCACTATTAAGTGACTATAAAAGCTTAATATACTTTTAATTGAAGAAAAAGTAAAAGTACAAAAATCTAATAGAGTGTAATAATACCAGGAATTTGTTCTAGAAAATCTAAAACATTGCCTATTACTCTATGCTTCAAAGCTTTTAGAATCTAAAACATTTAGCTTGTATTGTACTACATAACATAAGCACATACAAGTACTTTAACAAGGCAACTAACCTGTTAAAGTGAAGTGTCTAAAATAGTAAAGTTTCAGCTTTGAATGTATTTCAGTTAAGGGTGTGAATAATAAATATAACAAGAATTTATCATCTAATAAGCCATTAAGGAAAGTATGTATGTGCTTCCTGTTACAGGGTCACAGTTGCATTTTTTTGGGTGCAAATACAGTTTCTATATTAGTAACAGATACCTTCATTAATATGAGATTATTGGATTTTTGAAAATGTATTCTTTTTTTTTTTTGGTCTTTTTGAGACAGGGTTTTGCTATGCAGGTCAGACTGCCCTTGAACTCACTATGTAGCCCAAGCCATCCTTGAACTCTTGGCAATCCTTCTGCTTCAGCTCCCCAAGTGCTGGGATTACAGGTGTGCACCACCATGCCCTGACTAGATGTATTAATTCTTTTTTTTTTTTTTTTTTTAAGGTGTAGTAATTCTTGTTAACTTTTTACCTTGTATGCTTCTTAGCAGATAGGCACTCATGTGAAGCAGCCTGTAATTCTTGAGCTGTCGCTTTCAAAATAACCTTTGGCTAACTCCTTTTTTTCTGTGCCAAATCTACTTGTACTTTATAACATTCTAAAAGTAGAGGAAATCTGAATGGCTATGAAATTATTTTTGGTTAGCCGTACCTAATTAGCTAATGAATACAGTGGTACCTGGGTACTTGAGGGGTACCAAATAAATTGTGTTGGCCAGATAGGGTAGCCAGTCACAAGGCACTAACAGGGACAAGTTCTAACTTGTGCATCCAGTGCCAGTACAGAATTTTCATACCAGAATGCATCAAGCACCAAATTTAAGGAGTTGCAAAGCAGTCCAGTACTGAGTTATTGAATGCATGCAGTCATTCATCCTCTGGTATTTGTGATGGATTGGTATCAGGATGCCCACAGATAGTAAAATCCATAAATGCTCCAGTCCCTTTTACAAAATGGCATAGTATATCTTTATGCTATTTATAGTACATAATATAATGTAAGTGATATTTAGACAGTAAGCTCTCCTGTGAAGATTTCTCCAAAGTCCTCTAAATAAGCATTTATTAATATATTTCATACAGTGAATTATTGTATATTGTATTCATACATATTTTTGTATAATGTGTTGTCAGCATATGTTGTAAGACTTTTATTTCCTTTTTGTCTTGCTGTCTATAGTTATAGTACAGCTTTTTAAGAAATCAAGATCACACATTTGCTAATTCACTAGAGAAGGACCCATAAAACCTGCTAGTGGATTATATTAATGGCTATGGTTTATCATAGCAAAAAAATAAATGTAGAGTGAGAACTATAGGAAGATATTTTGAGGAGTTAAGAGCTTTTTAAGTCTTCCTGTGTGTCTAAGCTCACACAGAATTTGCTTTGTCTCTCTGGCTTACTAACTACCGGGACGTTTGCAAAGGGTCTCTCTACCCAGAGAACTCTGATTTTCAGGGCCTGAGAGTTTTGGAAGACCTGGTCACATAGACACATTTTCTGTATAACTTGATTGTGGCATTGGAAACTCAAGACCTCAACAGTGAACCCTAGGTGTGCATCATCAATCATGATTGTGCTGTGCATTTCTGATCTGATAGTGGGGTGCAGTCCACTAACGTGTATATAAAAAAATTACTACTCATTAATTGACCTTCAGGAGGCCACATTTCTGTTAATTGGCTAAGCCCCAATTATGGTTCTAGGTTCCTGTGCAAGAGATGTGAAAAGAGTGTGCAATCAAGTCTTTTGTAATAATGCTTTCTACTTGTAATAGTAGTGCTTTCTACTTGTTGAAGTGTCCTTCTCTCGTCTCTTAAATATGTACTTGTTTATTTCACTACCAAAAAAACTAAAGAGCCACTCTTTCCTCTCTTGAAATTTCTTAGTGTTGTAATGAGACTGGTTATTTTGGGAATAAAATACAATTCTTAATGTTAAAAACTGTTTGATACAACTGATATTTTTGATGGCTTCAAACTGAGGGGTTCAATAATATGTGTAAATGTAGATATAAACATGTTATCTCTGATTAGATAAGTATTCTCAGATGTAATGTGTTGGCAGGAAGAAAAGATAAACATGTATATAGTAATTATATGTGTTTGTCAGTTTCCCCCTAGTGGCATAGAAATAATAAATTCTACAGTGAGATGTCATAGCTCTTGTTCTGTTACTTAATGGTGAGTGACTTCATACCTAAGTAACTTTTTACCTATAAAATGGATGTAATGCTAATACTTACCTCAAAAGATTATTATAAAAATTAGATATGTTAGTAAATATAAAGAGATGGTAAAAATGCAATCTGCTAAGAATGTTAACTATCATGTGTCTTTTTTTTTTTTTTTTTCTCCGGTACCGGGGAACCGAACTCACGACCTGCGCTTGCCAGGCAGGCACTTTGCCGCTGAGCTAAATCCCCAGCCCCTCATGTGTCTTAAAAATGCTCTTAATAATTGAAATAATTACCAGTTGCAACCCCTCCCCCTTGGGTGGTACTGGGGATTGAACCCAGGACCCTCACTTTGGGCTATGTTCCCAGCCCTTTTATAATTTTCTAATTTTGTGACACGGTCTCATGAAGTTGCCCAGGCTGAGGTCTAACTTGAATCCTCCTGCCTCAGCCTCCCAGAGTGCTGGTATTACAGGCATGGGCCACCAGGCCTGGTCTACCAGTTGTATTTCTAAAAAGAAAATCTAGCCAGGAAACTTGCCTGTAGTATGGGATAGTAGATAAGCTGTATCTTATCAGGTTACTATGAATAAAAATTGTAATTTAATAGCTTAGATCACTTATTATGTCTTTTTCTTATCCTGTGTAAGAATTTTATGTTACAAATTTTTCTGTGGACACTGCTTTAGCTGCATTCTGCACATATTTCTTCTTTTTTTATTAGTATATGTTTACAATATATAATAAATACATTCATTATGTGGAGTTGGTACATACACGTACCTCATCATGATCCTTTTTTTCCTCCCTTCCTTCCACCTGTCTCCTCCCATCTCTGTGATGTCTGTCTCCCTCTTTCACATCATCTTTTATTTTACTCCTAGATTATATGTACTTTGGGTTTCTCATATAAGACAAACCATGTAATAGTTAATCTTCTGTATCTCATTTATTTGACTTACAATTGTGGTCTCAGGATACATTCATTTTTGTACAAATGACTCTATACTTCTTTATGGCTGACACTTCATCATGCATATGTACTGCATTT